TCTTTCTCTCTTTCTCTCTTTCTCTCTTTCTCTCTTTCTCTCTTTCTCTCTTTCTCTCTCTCTTTCTTTCTTGTCTTCCTTTTCCTTCCTTCCTTCCTTCCTTCCTTCCTTCCTTCCTTCCTTCCTTCCTTTTCTGTCTCTTTTCTTTTTGATCCTACTTACTATCAAGCCTTGTTAAGGACTGAATTTTGTGTCTCTGGAAAATGTAGGTTGTTATCTAGTCCCTTTACCTGTGGATAAAGAGCACTGGTGGGACAATGATTAAAGTGTTGGCTGCCAAGTGAAAAGTGAGTGGTTTCAATTCGCCATCTGCTCCTGGAGTGAAAGACAAGGCAGTCTGTTCCTGTAAAGATGACAGGCTTATGAACACATAGGGGCAATTCCACCTTCCCCTGTAGGGGCCATATGAGAAGGATTTGACTCCACATCCCCATCATCAGGACCACCACCACTGTTAATATCACCTTCATCAACAGCATTAACACCACTGCACAATCACCACCACCACTACCACCACTGCTACAACCATCATCATTTCCATCACCACAACCACCACCATTAACATCACGACCACCACTGCCACCATCACAAACACTATGAGCACCACCTCCATGGCCATCACCAGGAAAACCACCACCACATCCCCATTAACACCATCATGACCACCACAATCACCAACATTAACACCACTACTACCATCACCACCATTGCTAATACCACCATCACCACCAGGACAACCACCACCACACTCCCACTGACACCACCATGACCACCAAAACCACCAACATTAACACCACTACTATCATCACCACCATTGCTAATACCACCACCATGACCATCACCACCACACCCCCATTAACACCATCACCACCACTAACATTAACACGACTACTACCATCACCACCACCACCACTAACACCACCACCATGGCCATCACCACCATGACCATCACCACCACACCCCCATTAACACCATCACCACCACTAACATTAACATGACTACTACCATCACCACCACCACTAACACCATCACCACCAGGACAACCACCACCACACCCCCATTGACACCACCATGACCACCAACATTAACACCACTACTAACATCACCACCATTGCTAATACCACCACCATGACCATCACCACCACACCCCCATTAATGTCACCACAACCACCAACATTAGCACCATTACTACCATCACCACCAGGGCAATCACCACCACACCCCCATTGACACCACCATGAGCACCACAATCACCAACATTAACACCACTACTGCCATCTCCACCATTGCTAACACCACCATCACCACCACCACCACCACCATAACCATCAACACCACATCCCCACTACCACCACCACAACCACCAACATGAATGCCACTACTACCATCACCACTATCACTAACACCATTACCATCACTACCAGGACAACCCTCCCCCAGTAACACTGCCATGACCACCACCATCACCACCATGACCATCACCAGCACCACCTCCATTAACACCACCATGACCACCACCAACACCACCAATATTAACACCGTTAATACCATCACCACCATCACTAATACCATCACCATCACCACCACAACTGCTGTAACTCCTTGAATTCTTTACTGTTGTAATCATTGCTCCTGGGATCCTTTTCTCCCCTTTCCTTTTCTTTTACTAAAAATAACCTTTATAACCTCAAATAATAAATACATACAAAGACATTGACATGGGCAGTTGTTTTCTTCCTCTGATGTTTTGTGATCAACATTAATACAGAAGGAAGCTCTGATGGCCTAGTGGCAAGAAGCTGTGCTACAATCCTGAAGGTGCTCAGTTCAAGTCCACCAGATGCGCCACTGGGGAAGGAAAAGGAGGGGCAATCTCCTCCTGTGCCAGTCGGATCCGATTAGATGGTGCACAACACAAGAACAACAAAAATTTTTTTTTTTAAATTGGCTTCAGTATTACATTTAAAAAACACATCAAACCAACCCAAACAATAATGCAGAACTAAAATTGTCAATCCAGATCATCTCTATGTGAGATTTTTGGGGATGGGGACACCTTTGATGAGTTTGGTCAGATGCTCTTTCCTCTGTATTTATAACATGTGCATTTATTTATTTCCAATTGACTTTAAAGCACTCTAAGTCATGCAAATACTTAAGCAAGAGTTTTGTTGAGCACAATCTATGCCAGATGGCCGCTGGGGTGTCAGGTACTAAGAAAGCATGCCTTCAGGGGAGCTCTGGTGGCCCAGTGGCAAGAAGCTGCACTACAATCCCAGAGGCGCACGGTTCGAATCCACCAGATGCTCTGCTGGGGAAGGGGGGACAGTCTCCTCCTGTACCAGTCAGATCTGATTTGACGGTACACACAAATAGTAAAATAAAAATAAATAAATAAATAAGAAAGAAAGCATGCCTTCGCTATTCATGGAAAAAAACAAGATCCTCGATTATTCAGGGTGGGGACAAAGACAGCCTCGGTGACATAAAAGTAAACAAGAGAGAAGAGGAAGATCTTCTCTCAGGATCTAGAGTTTGCAGCACATTTGGTAACTTTCCTTGGTGGTGGTGGTGGTGGTGGTGGTGGTGGTGATGTAGCATAGCGCAGAGTAGGAACTGACCCATAGCTGACCCTCCAGTGGGTTTTCAGAGGCAGTTTAATCTCACAGGAGGAGATTGTCCGTCCTTCTTCCAAGGAGCAGCTGGTAACAGTGTAACTTTCAGAATTGCAGCACAGCTTCTTGCCACTAGGCCACCGGATACTTCATACATTATTATATTCTTTCACTCCCTTAATTTATTTCTGTGTGTGTGTGTGCGTGTGTGTGTGTGTGTGTGTGTGTGTGTGTGTGTGTGTGTGTGTGACTGTTTATTCTCTCTGGAGACTAAGGTGCGTCTGATACAGGCTATGGTCTTCGCAATCACCTGTTATGCATCAGAGAGTTGGACAATGACCAAAGAGGATAGAAGGAGAAGTGATGCCTTTGAGCTGTGGTGCTGGAGAAGAGTATTGAGAATACCATGGACTGCTAGGAAAACAAACAGATTCGTCCTGGAAAGGGTTAAACCGGGTAGCTCCTTGGAGGCAAGGATTCTGAGGCTCCGTCTAACATACTTTGGACATGTTGTGAGGAGAGACCGGTCCTTGGAGAAGGACATCATGCTTGGGAGGGTGGAGGGCAGGCGCAGGAGGGGAAGGCCCTCTATGAGGTGGATTGATTCAGTGACTGGGATAATTGGGATGGGAGTGTCGGAGACAGTGCAATTGGCACAGGACAGAGCAGAGTTTAGGGCTGTTGTGCATAGGGTCGCTATGAGTCGTAAGCGACTCGACGGCACATAACAACAACAACAACAACAACAACAACAAATTTTATTTTCTTAATTGAGATTTTAATGAAAATTTATGGAGAACTTGGATTTCTATTGATCCATTATTGCATATTTTCCTCCCTGACCACCTACCCCATGATTATATTCTTGAGTTAACATTTTAACATGTGAAATTCAGTGAATTTAATGACTTTGATTATGTGTGTGCCTTGTCTTATTTTTTATGACCTCGGCTGCTTCTAGAAGTCCTGGCCAGGGACATTGTAGGGTACTGCTCTGCAGCAACCTGCCTGATGCTTTTCATCTTCCTTGCACTCAGGTAGTGGGTTTGGGGAGAAGAAGACCACGGGTGAGATGCCTTTAGAGGCTGAATTGTGATGCCCAAATATATAAGCGCACAGTCCTGACTCTGTCATGTGAATGTGAAATAGGATCTTTATCGGTGTAACTCATTAGTATCAAGTAATACCAGAATAGTGGAGGTCCAACCTCCTTAAAAAAAGGAAGAGATATGCACACCCATATTTATTGCAGCTTTGTTCTCAATAGCAAAGAGCTGGAAACAGCCCAAGTGCCCATCAACAAATGAATGGATAGAGAAGCTCTGGTATAATCACACAACGGAATACTACGCAACATTGAAAAACAAGGAACTTGTCCCGTGTGGCCATAATCCTTGGCCACCTCCAAACCTGGACCTGGCCTCGTGGGCACAGCTCATTCTGCAGGTAAAGTGGACTCTTGTCAGGTGAACAGCAACACTAGGAGGATAGATGGCTCCTTAAAACAATCCACTACCACCACAACAAGACAAAGGTAAATAATCCAATAGAAAAATGGACACAGGATATTAACAGACACTTCACCAAAGACGACATTCAGATGGCTAACAAGCACATGAAGAAATGTTCAAAATCCCTAGCTCTAAGAGAGATGCAAATCAAAACAACTATGAGATAGCATCTCACCCCAGTCAAAATAGCAAAATTTAACAGAACATCAAGCAACAAATGCTGCCTAGGTTTCGGAGAAACTGGAACCCTTATTCACTGTTGGTGGGAGTGTAAAATGGTGCAACCCCTGTGGAAAGCAGTATGGCGCTTCCTCAAAAAGTTGCAAATAGAGATACCATTTGACCCAGCAATTCCACTACTGGGAATATACCCTGAAGAGACCATAGCTGACATCCAAGCAGATATATGCACACCCATGTTTATTGTGACTTTGTTCACAATAGCAAGGAGTTGGAAACAACCTAAGTGGCCATCAACAAACGAATGGATAGAGAAGCTGTGGTATATTCACACAGTGGAATACTATGCTGCATAGAAAAACAAGGAACTCATGCAATATTATTCAAAATGGGTGAGCCTGGAGGACATTATGCTGAGTGAAGTATCTCAGTCACAAAAGGACAAATACTGCATGGTGCCACTGTTGTAAAACAGGACTGACATCAGGTTTGGGGAGAGACTGAGAAAGATGGGTTCAATGATGTATACTTCATTGAAACAGATGAGGGAGAAAAATGTTTAAAAGGGATATGTGATTAGGTATTTTTGTCATGACAGGAATCCAGAGGGAAGGCTACATGGTGGAGTGGACCTGGGGGAGGGTTTGTAAAATAATGAAAGGATTTTTCTTTTATTTTTCCAAGAGGGTAGTGTACTGGGGGGGAGGGTTGGGAGGGGAGAAAAAGTGCAACAATGAATGAATGGAAATCCAAAGTCTTTGAAAATTTTTACTGAAATTAATAATAAATTTAAATAAACTGTTAAAAAATTTAAAAAAAAGAAAAACAAGGAACTCATGAAATATTATGCAAAATAGATTATCCTGGAGGACATTATGCTGAGTGAAATATCTCAGTCACAAAAGGACAAATATTGCATAGGGTTACTCTTGTAAAACGGGACTGACATCATGGTTGAGGGAAGACAGAAAAGGAGGAGAGGAATGATGTATAGGAGGGAGAGATCTGTTTAGAAGGGATCTATGAATGGGTATTCTTGTAATTACAGAAGTCCAGAGTGAAGACTGCATAGTGGAGTGAACTTGAGGGGAAGGATTGCATAACAATGAAAGAGTTTTTCTTTTTCTTTCAAGGAGAAGAATGAATTGGAGGGGGAGGGGGTGGGCAGGGAGAAAAGTGTAACAATCAATGACTGGTAATCCTAATTCTCTGTAAACTTTCATTAAAACTAATAAGTAAATTTAAAAAGTATAAAAAAAACTAAAAAAAAAAGGAAGAGATAGAGACAGAAAGATACAAAGGGAAGGCGGACAGGTGAAGATAAAGACAAAGATTGAAATGAAGCATCTATAAGCTGAGAAAGGCCAAGATTAGGTGGTAACAGCTGGGAAGTGGAGGAGATGAGGAAGTATTTCTCTCGGAGCCTCTAGATGGATCACGGCCCTGTCAACCCTTGACTTCTGGTCTCCAGAAGCCCAAAGCAATATATTTCCATTGCTGAAAACGCCCACTTTGCAGTGTTTTGTTTTGACAAACCCCAAGACTGCCTGAGGTCATTGAATCACTTTTGACTGATGGTGGCACCAGCAGGGGACTCTGCTGAGTGGGTTCTGACTGCCCACCTTTAGTTGAAGGATTTTAAGAAATGAGGACGTCACTTACTGCCCCCACAACATCACATTCCTGGGGTGTCCTCCCCTGGCCCAAAAGAGTACTTCACTGGGGCTCCTCCCTTCTGCCCTGTTGCATCTTCTGTGGAAGGAGAAATACTTATAGCCAGGGACAGATGCTCTCTCAAGAACAGTGACCTCCCCAAGCTTCCTCTTCTGGGGCAGTCCCTAGCCCTCCCTGCCTGGAGCTTCTTGGAGAGGTTCCTTCCCACACAGACAAATGGAGATGCCAGAACGTGCTGGGTCCAGCTCCTCCAACTGCGAGATGCCATTGCTGCTGCTTCTTCTTCTTCTGCTACTGCCGCTGCTGTTGCAACAGACAGGGTGTGCCGGGGATCTGGGGTCTTGTGCAGCCTCTGGGGTTCATATTAAGGCTCGATTCCCCCGCTAGTCCCCAGCATGTGATCACAAAGACTACTATTTGCAGGTGCAGGAACTGGTGATGGTGCAGGAGGGCCTGTGTGTCTTCATACCCTGCACTTCCTCCTACCCCCTGTGTGGCTGGACCGAGTCAGACCCAGTTCTTGGCTACTGGTTTCAGGAAGGGGATGATACTGGCTTTGGGGCTCCTGTGGTCACAAACAATCGGGCTAGGGAAGTGAGAAAGGAGACGAAAGGCCGCTTCCAGCTCCATGGGGATCTCCGGAAGGGGAGCTGCTCACTGGTGATCGGAGAGGCACAGCGGAAAGACGAGAAGACTTATTTCTTTCGGATGGAAAGGGGAGCTCGTGTGAAATATAATTTTAGGGCATACAAGCTGACCTTGAAAGTGACAGGTATGCGGCTATGGATTAGATGACGGGCCATGCTTCTGAGGTTAGAACCCATGTCTCTCTCTGTCCCAGGCCTGACACAGAAACCTGGCATCTATCTCCTCGAGACCCTGGAGGCAGGGCACCTGGCGACATTCTTCTGTTTGTTTCCTGGAGACTTTGAGGGGTGTCCACCTCCCAGGATCTCCTGGATTGGGAAAGCCTTCTCCCCACAAAAAGTTGCACCCCAAAATTCTGCTTTTTTCTCTGTGGTCACCCTCACCCCAAGGCCCCGAGATCACAACACCACCATTGCCTGTCAAGTGGACTTCAGAAATGGTGTGAGCTTCTCAAGCACGGTCCGGCTGAATGTCACCTGTGAGCCTGGGCTGTGGGGACAGGTCAGTATACAGGGATGTGGGAAATCACCATGGAAACCAACAGGCTGGAGCTGGGAGGGTCCTCAGGAGAAAAGGTGGGTTCTAGGAAACTGACTCCCCCTGGGAGGTGATGGGGACATCTCTGGTCCTTGGGGTCCAGCTGTGTGTGGCTGGTGCCATGGTCCCAGGGAGGACCAGGGACAGTCACGCTCTCTCTCGGACTGTGGGAGACTAAACTCCTCCCAAAGCCACCTCACAATCTTGTTGCAGATGCCCCAATGGACCTTGTCATCAGCTTTTCTCTGACAAATACATCAGGTACCAGGGTGGGGTGGGGTACTAGGGCTGAGTCAGTTCCTTATGGGGAACAATCATTTAGGGAGCCGATGGAGCTGGGGGTGGTCCTCTCTGCAGCCCTCCCCACTCCTTCTCCAGACCTGCGGCCTCTGGGAAATGCCTCATGTGTGGAAGCCAAGAAAGGCCAGTTCCTGCGGCTGCTCTGTGCGGCTGATGGCCACCCCCCACCCACGCTGAGCTGGGTCCTGAGTGACAGGGTGCTCTCCTGGTCTCCTCCCTCGGGGCCCAGAAGCCTGGGGCTGGAGCGGCCTCAGGTGGGACCCAAGGACGCAGGGTGCTACACCTGCCGATCAGAGAACAGGCTGGGCTCGCAGCAGCGCTGGCTGGACCTCTCTGTGCAAAGTGAGTGGTGGGAGAGTGGGACAGGGCAGAGGGGGATAATAGGGGAGTAAGAGGTCCTTTGATGGGGATCCCAGAACAAGGAGGGGCCTGTCCCCAGGGCAATGGCAGGAGGCTCCCCACCTGTTGGAATCCTTGTGTGGTTTGTGTCTGGGGCTCAGCAGGTGGGTCAATCACCACCCACCTTCTCAGCTGGGATGGCTCCTTTTGACCCCAGCGAAGCCCCTGCCCCCTCGAGCCAAGCCCCTGAATCTCTTTCAGACCCTCCAGACTATCTAACAGTGATGGGTCCCCTGCAAACAGGACAGGTTTGAAGGAGGGCAGAGAAATACATCCTTGTCCCCAGTGTGGGAAATGATAGTGGGAATGGGGAGGAACTCCCTGTGTCCCCAGGTCTATCTAGAGTGTCCCACTGCAATCCAGTCATGGAAAACATCGGGAATGGCATGACCCTCCCAGTGCTGGAGAGCCAGTCCCTGCAGGGGGCTTGGGTCGGGGACCCAAGGGCTGGAAGGGGCCTGTGCCCAGGGTAATGGTAGGAAGCTACCTACCTGTTGGAATCCTTGTGTGTTTTTTTTCTGGGGAGCCCCTACCCCTTGAGCCAGGCCCTTTCCTCTGTTTCAGACCCCCCAGAGAACCTGACAGTGATGGTGCCCCCTGCAAACAGGACAGGTATGAAGGAGGGCAGAGAACCACATCCGGGTCCCAGGTATCTGGTATGGTGGTGGGGATAGGGGTACCCTCTGCTCTGTTTCTATCTGGAGTATCTCCTTGCAATCCAATCATGGAAAGCTTTGGGACTGGCACGACCCTCCCAAACCTGGGGCTGTCAGTCCCTGCACTTCATCTGTGTGGGCAGCTGCAACCCCTGTGTCTCTCCCCTGCCACACTGAGCTGGGACTAGGGGAGCTGCCCCACCCTGAGCAACTCACAGTCCTCAGACCCCTGGGCCTGGAGCTACCTCAGAGTCAGAGGGAGAATGAAGCTCAGAGCCTCTGTCTCCCTTCGTCTCTATGTGTGGAGTGGGCCCCAAGGGGCTGCACAAGCGTCCACCATCCCAGTGACTCCTACTCACCCAACTTGGACCACACAGCCCCCTGTGACTCAGCAGGGACCCCAGCTCTACATTCAGTCTCATCTGTGAGAGCCCAATACCACCCCCACTCCCAGGGACTAGCTCTCCTGTCCCCCTGCTGGACGCTAGCACATGGGAGGTGCAGCCAGGGTACATGTGGTCCCCCGGTAGGGATGTAAGAGGGTTGGAGAGTAAGTATCTTGTCTTACTGGAGCAGAAGGTCATAGGAACGTGGGGCGGGGGCGAGGTGTGTGTGCGCGTCACTCTGTTCCCCCGCCCTTCCGCAGCGACACCCTGGCCCATGACTGAAGTGGTTCTGGCGGCTGTCATAGCAGCTGCGGTCAAGACTCTAATCCTCAGCCTCTGCCTCGCCCCCTTCGTGTGAGCACAGCCCTGGGAGGAGGGGAGACAGGGGAGAGCAGGGGCAGGACACTGCATCCAGAACCTCAGTCCTGGAGGGACCCAGGAGTCAGGCGCCTGGGTGGAATGGTGACTTGATGGTGGGAATTCAGTTACATCAATCAGACGGTCCCAGTGCCCGGGATGAGCAGGCCCTGCTCTTGTCTGAGTCTCTGGGTTTCCTGCCCACCCCAGCCCAGCCCCCCTCCAGCCTGAGAGGGAATGACCATGGTCTGGCCGGACTGAGAGGCTCTGTGGTCTCTTTCTCAGGGTGAAGGCCTGTGGACAGAGAGCAGCAGGACCTGCCCTCAGCGTGGAGGACAAGGGCAAAAGGGGGACACAGGGGGCATGGGTGAGTCTCTTGGGTAAGTGCTGTGGGAGTGAGCCTTTCCCATGTCCCACCTGACACCTCCTACAGGAAGGCCCTCATGATTGCTCTACTCAGCGTGGCCAGCGCTGAGCTGTCCATCTTCCTCCCCAGCCTCTGCTCCTGCTGGGTTCTCTCCCCCTAATGTCTCAGCCGACTCCAGTCTCTCAGGACAGAAACCACCGGGTCACTGTCCACTCTGTCACCCGTCCCTTCTCCCAGGTCCAAAGAATTGTTGACCTTGTATTGACGCCCTTGTCCACTCCCTGCTGACCTTGGTCTTTCCTGAGACCTCAGCTCTTCCACCTTCCCTGACCACCCCCCCTCCTCTCCTCTCCACCCATCTCTCCTCACGCAGGGTTCCAGTCTGGGCTTCCAGGTTCAGTGAGGACCCTTCCTCTTCAAGGTGGACGCTGCTGTTTTATATCAGCAGGACAATGAGGTATGAACACCTTGAACCTCCAGACCTCTAGAACCTGCCCCTGCTGCCCCCCAGACCCTCCCTCCCCTCTGCATGGACCAGAGTCTTACCTCATCCTCTGTATCTCTCTGACACTGCTCTGTGTGTGTGGTTCCTTCTCCCAAGTGCCTTTTCTTCCCCTATTTCTGCTTCTGCAAGCTTTGTCTGTCCCTGGACTCAGTCCTGTTGTTCAACTTGACATGGGTGTGTTTGCACGGGTGTTAAGAAAAATGCATGCAGGCGAGCTCTGGTGGCCTAGTGGCAAGTAGCTGCACTGCAATCCCAGAGGTGAGCGGTTCGAATCCACCAGATGCTCTGCTGGAGAAGGAGGGACAATCTCCTCCTGTACTAGTCAGATCTGATTTGACGGTACACACACAAAAAATAATAAAATAAAATTAAAAAAAAAAAAGAAAAATGCATGCAAATGTATACAGGTGTGGATATGCATATGTATGTCTGTTGTGTGTCTATATGCAAGCACATATATTTAAGCACATTTATGAATATAGTTGTGTATGTTATTGGTATGTGCCATCGAGGTGATTATGACGCATAGCAACCCTGTGAACCACAGCTCCGAACCCTGCCCCACCTGGAGTCAACCTCACCTGCTCTGACGCTCCTGCCCCATTGCCACAGTCACTGTGCCAAATCCACCTCTTTTGAAATCTTCTTCTCCTGTGCGTATCCTCCACCCTTCCAAGGATAATGTTCTTCTCCAAGGATTGGTCCCTCCTAACAACATGCCCAAAGTATATGCCCAAAATCCTTGTATGTGTGTATATTTATGTATGCATGTATATGCCTATTTGTGCATGAATATATATTAATAAATGGTCCTGTATATAAATATGTGTGCACTTACACATTCATATGTGCACATGTGTGTCTTGGTTCCACAGTCAACACTCTTGGCACCAGCAGTCAGGAAATCAAAAGATGAATTGGGAAAATCTGCTGTCAGGGACCTCTCCAGAGTACGATGTCAGTCTAGAGACTAAGGTGCACCCGATTCAGGCCATGGTCTTTGGAATTACTTGCTATGCATAGAGCTGGGCAATGACTAAGAATGAATGAAAAAGAATTAATGCATTTGAGTTGTAGTGCTGGAGAAGAGTCTTGAACATACCATGGACCGCCAAGAAAACAAATAGGTCTGTTTTGGAGAGGGTGAAACCAAGTTTCTCCTTGGAGGCTAGGATTTTGAAGCTCTATCTCACATATGTTGGGCACATGGCCAGGAGAGACTGGTCCTTGGAGAAGGATATCATGCATGAAAGGGTGGAGGGACGAAGACCCCGAGTGAGATGGATTGATACAGTAACTGGGGCAGTGGGAGTAGGTGTGTCAGAGTTAGTGAGATTGGCTCAGGACAGGGCAGGGTTCAGAGATGCTGTAGATAGGGTCGTTAGGAGTAGCAGGAGACTCAAAGGCACATAACAACAACAACAACATATAGATACATGCATACATGTTTGTGTAGATACATATATTCATGTATGAAGGCATATGTAAGTATGTAGGTATCTATAGCATTCCAAGGATCCTGTTGTTCAGAGGACTGACGTCAATCACTTATCAACACCTTCCCAATGTATAACGAGTACCAACCACGTGCTGGATACTGACATAGGTTCCAGGATTTCACTGGGGGACACAACTTCAATAACCTCTGTCCTCTACCTGTCATTCTTGGGACAAGGGCACAGATGGAGAACAATAAATAAGATGAGAGCAGTGATTTACTTAATGTGTCTCCGCTAGCTATAGACTTTGTACCTCTCACCAAATGACTTTCAAAAATCTCCTTGGTGCCAATGCCAATTTCTAACAGTCCCTGTCCTTCATTCTCCAAAGTCCAGGCAAGCCACCACAATAAGATAAAGGTAAATAACCCAGTTGAAAAATGGGCACAGGATATGAACAGACACTTCACCAAAGAAAACATTCAGACGGCAAACACATGAAGAATTGTTCAATATCCCTAGCTCTAAAAGATCCACAAATCAAAACAACTATGAGATATCAGCTCACACCAGTAAGAATAGCAAAATGTAACAGAACAGCAAACAACAAATGCTGGCGAGGTTGTGGAGAAACTGGAAACCTTATTCACTGTTGGTGGGAATGTAAAATGGTGCAACCACTATGGAAGGCTGTATGGTGCTTTCTCAAAAAGTTGCAAATAGAAATACCATTTGACCCAGCAGTTCCACTACTGGGAATATACCCCAAAGAGACCATAAATGACATCCAAACAGATATATGCACATTGATGTTTATTGCGGCTTTGTTCACAAAGCAAAGAGTTGGAAACAACCTAAGTGCCCATCAACAAATGAATGGACAGAGAAGCTATGGTATATTCACACAACGGGATACTATGCTGCATTGAAAAACAAGGAACTCATGCAATATTATTAAAAATGGGTGACCCTGGAGGACATTATGCTGAGTGAAATATCTCAGTCACAAAAGGACAAATACTTCATAGTGCCACTGTTGTAAAACAGGACTGACCTCGGGGTTGAGGAGAGCCTTAGAAAGATGGGATAAATAAGGTATACTGCATTGAAACAGATGAGGGAGAAAACTGTTTAAAAGGAATATGTGATTAGGTATTATTGTCATGATAGGAGTCCAGAACGAAGGCTACATAGTAGAGTGGACTTGGGGGAAGGGATTATATAACAATAAAAGAATTTTTCTTTTACTTTTCAGAGAAGAGAGAACTGGAGGGCAGGGAGAAAAGTGCCACAATGAATTAATGGAAATCTAAAACCTCCGTAAATGTTCATTAAAATTAATAATAATAATAATAATAATAATAAAAATTATAGCACTCTAAAAGGAAGTAGGCACAAGAGGCTCACAGGTACAGGAAACAGCTCTCTGGTGCCACACTGGACACATCAAATCTTGAGATAATTTTGACCAGTTAAGTGGAAACTAGTGTCTGATCACTTTTCAAGATCTCAAGTTAGCTTCCTTCTGCAATGCATCTTGGGATGCTGAACTTCTTCAGATGGTGACATTATTCCCTTAATTAATGAACCTGGTACATTTACCTGAAATCATCTTCTGTCTGGGGGGAGAGTCATTTGCTGCTGCTCTGGGCACATCAAAATGATGCACGGTAAACAAGGTCACAGGGACAGCAGATGACAAGGTGATCCCAGTCTCCTGAGAGAAGTCCTAGCATCTCGTTCTAATATAACAGTCTTGGACATTAGTGTCCTTTTTCAGATGTCTTGCTTTCTTGGGAGAAGCTGGCTGCTTTTGTAACTTCCGCAGAGCCTAGCTTTGAGGCTCAGAAGGAGGTACACTCCCCCTAATACATTCTTTCCAGATCTTTGCTTTCTTATTTTCTTTATCATTCTTTGCTTTCTTATTCCCCCCCACATTTATCCTTCTGTTTCGTTTCTGATTTCGTATGTGTAATTTTTCTTCTTCCTTATTTTTATTATCACTATTTCTCCTTTCTCTTACTTCTCTCTTCTTCTGATGCATGAGGTTTTGATTTGTATTTCATTGTTCTGATTTTCTTCTTTACTTTTCACTCTTATTCTTAACTTCTGTTTGCTCTCCAAAGTTCTTTCCTTGTCTTCAATCAAAACAGTGTCTTTTTATAATAACATCATTCTCTTTTCGTTGTATGCTTATCTCCTTTTGATTTGTTGCTAACCACTAGTTTAAAATGCTGTGTACGTTCACGCATTGTTATAACTTTCGTATGTTATTATACCCCTTCCTACTCTCTTCTTTATTTCTTTATTCTCTATATCCTATTTCTATTAACTTGTATTGGATATAATTTTCCTTTCAGTTTTATGTCACTAATCTCTTTCCCATTTTACTGCTTTATTCATTTTGGCTTTTCCTTTGAAAAAAAATTCTATTTTTAGAAAAGACATACTTTATTTAAATTTCTCATCTGCTTATTTTCACTTAAAAGTGCTCCAACCACATTTAAGAGAATTTCTAGAACCATTTCCTCTTAGAGGTTTTACACAATTCATTTGTTCATGGTAATGTTGATTCCTGGGTTTTCCTTGTCTTTATGCTATTTAAATAGTATATTTCTTTAAGTTACATGTTTAACAATATTTTTATATTCTAAATACTATTTCTATTACCTTTGACTTCAACAATCTGGAAGCATCTTTGAATAATTTCTTGATCAATTATGCCATAGAGTTTCTTTCTTGAAAAGATACAATTCGTAGTGATTAAAAATAATATTACTTTCTTTCCAACTATTATTAATTTTACTTTCTTCATTTTAAAGTCCACCAAGTCCAAAACCACAAGATGTAGAAGTGGGCATAGTAGGAAATTCCCCCCCCCCCATTCTAATCTCACAGGTAAAGTCTTCAAAAGTTAACTGTTAATGCTTTTATTGTTTGCGTAATGCAGGTAAACTACCAGGGTAAGACTAATATATTCTTTTTTAAAAGAAGATTTTAGGGGAGCTCTGGTGGCCTAGTGGCAAGGAACTACAATCCCAGAGGCGCATGGTTCGAATCCACCAGATGCTCTGCAGGGGAAGGAGGGACAATCTCCTCCTGTACCAGTCAGATCTGATTTGACGGTACACTCACACAAAAATAATTAAAAAAATTATTTTATTAATGTTAATGAATGTTTACAGAGATTTTGGATTTCCATTCATTCATTGTTGCATTTTTCTCCCTGCCCACCCCTCTCCCCAAGGCTAATCTATTCTATTGTTGTGTTGCTAAGAATTGACATAGTGAATACATGTTCAATTTTAGAAATATATTTAAACATAAATGTATTGTTGTTGTTGATTGCCTTCGAGTCGAGCACGACTCATAGCGACCCTATGAACAGAAGGCCTGAAGCCCTTCTACAACTATCAACACTTATCAAAGTTCATAGAGTTTCTGGAGGCATGTTGCTTA